GGGCTGTTGAAGCATGGTTTCCCCCCTTGTGCCTTGTGCTAGGCCCCATGTGTGAGTGCATTGTGCAAGAGAATGTTGTTTTCCTTGTCATTTAAAAATGGTTATAACCTGTTTTTAATACTGCATGCTGCCTACAGTTGCTATGGCATTAGGAAGTTTTCCAAATTTGAAAAAATAAACTGTTGCCAACAGATACTATTATGTTATCTTCGTATTGTAGATATGTGAAAATATGTACATTCAATTCTGGCATCTCCAAAGAGAGAATTTGGGGAAGAAAACTTGTGTTCAAGAGTTTGGAGGGCCATAGACAACAACAATAGATAAAAGGGAGATAGAAAGTTTCATTTCTTTTAACTTAAGGTAGTTTCATCTGTATACCATTGTTGAGTATCACAAGAGTGAGATCCACAATACTACTTAGGTCAACTGAATTTAATTCTTTGCAAATAGAGACTGATAAGGGAAAAAATCAGAAAAAAGGGCCTTTCAAAACTACATAAATAGGGAGCAAAGGTATAAAATGTTTTGAATTATGAGTTAAAGCTATGCAAGCCATAAAAGCCAGCTTCCACTTATCAGATATTTTAATGATGAAGAAATTCACTCCTAAGGAGTTCTTATGAACTGCTCAGTGTATATATTTTATGCAATATATAATTACATACGGTATCATATTTGGGCTTTACATTCCAACTATTTATTGCTAATCTAAAGCACCTAGCGCAAACTAATCCAAGCACACAATTGAGTATCAAAAGACTTCAACTTCTATCAACTTGAAAGAGTGTTACTAACCACCAGCTTTCATGGCTTTCCATTTCTATTCAACAAGCGTACCTGAAGTCTTAGATTTGATGTATAGCACTAGTTGACTTAGTTTAATTCAAGCTTAATCAAAGATCAAATAATGCATCTGATGAGGAGGTTGTACATTAAGTGCTCAAAAACTATACATAAAATGAAGATATATATCTGTGGACAAGCTTGCTGAGTTATTACATATAAAAATTGGAGTTAAGATTGCTGATGAAAAAGCACACACTGAAACAACTTAAATACACTTACTTCCAGCCATTTTTAAAATTCAGAGATGAGAAAAATTGTCTAAAAGATACTTGGAGGCATACTTAAAAGCATGTTAAAAAAGCTAACTGGTCTATATTTAAACTTTTGCACAGAAGTAGAGCCACTATTTATCACTGAATTAAACAGATGCCTTTAATAAACTATAGGGCATTTTCCTATATATACAGAACATTATAGAGACTATTTAAATTAATCCTTGGAATCATCTCAGTTTTCTCTGGAAAGGATAAAGAAATAATGTACACAGTCTAAATATGGGTTGATATTATACAGGGCACTCCAAAGCTCTTTTTAGTTTAGCTGTAAAAATGTCTATAAAACCTTAGATTAGGAGACCAGGAAAGTCACAAGGGCCCACATTCCTTTTTCTTTCTTATATGAATTTCCCCATTCATTTCAATCCCAGTGTTGTTAGGAATACATATCAACACTAGTTCTGGAAAACAGTTTTTGGGAAGGATGTATGTAAAACCAGGATGACTCAGGTAATCTTAACCATGATAAATACATAAAATGAATACTAAAAGATCCAATAATTTCATCTAAAACTGCACTTGAATTGGTAGTATACTTTCACTGCTAATCCTGTTAAAGAGGTAGGAAAAATTATGCTAACCAATAATTGCAACTAATAGCTCTGAGTTTCCCTGAAAAATATAATGGGTAGATTTTGTACAGCATGAGATTAAAGTAGATTAGCTAAAACAAAATTTGATGAATCAGATTCTAAGGCAGTCTAAGCAATAAATAAGGCAATAACAGAATAACTAGATATACTTTTCAGCCACATCGGAAAAAATTGTGAACATATGGTGCACTGCTTATTCTAATGTTGTATATATAAAATCAAGTTGGTTATGTTCTCAAAGGTGCATCATAGCATGGCATGAAGACAGTAACTACTCGAAACTATTTTCTACTATACCGATACTAAAAAAAACTATGTTAATCTTTACTAGAATGGACTATTATGAACAAAGTTAAGATGTACTTAATATTGCTTTTGAAATTGTTAGACTCATTAGCAGCCCTATTTTGAACTATATTTCTACAAGAATAATAGTGTTTACCCCACACCACCAAGACCTTTGCTTGTTCATATTATAATTAAGAAAGAATAATCCTAGTAGATGGACAGTGTTGCAATTCTTGAAGCTCAATGGGGTAGAAATGTTTGCATGAAAACAAATACATATATTTAATGTTGTGCATAGGTGTTTTAAAAGTTCTAGTTCCTTTACCTTTGCTAGAGATACATTAAGCTGTTTTATTGGTTTGCAGATGAAATGCATATTACAGAACATCACATTTTAAATACATAATAGCACTCTCTAAGCGGTTTACAGAGTCAGCATATTTCCCCCAGTGTAGGTCCTCATTTTACCCACCTTGGAAGGATAGAAAGCTGAGTCAACCTTGAGCCAGGCACGATTGGACTCCTGGCAGTGGGCAGAGTCAGCCTGCATTCTAACCACTGTGCTACCACAGCATAATATTTTAAAGAACAGATTATGAGGGGGTCATAATGGATTTCAAACATGACCAAAAAGAGATCTGGAATCTTTTTTCACTTGACACAGTGAGAGAATTATATGTTTACAAATAGCTGAAGACTGGTGAATTCTAATGTAGAGTACAACTGTAAGCACCATTAAAAAAAATCCCATGTATTTAATAAAATACTTCATGAATGGCACTGCATCTAAAAATAACACTAAGGATTGTGTACCATTGTGTCTTCCTTGTGGAAGAAAGCCACCCATCAACAGAAAAAGCAGTGACTCTCCTATGAGAATAATTCTGGGGGTCTTGTGCAGAGCAAGGGAAGAAATCTGCAGAAACCCTCCTTTCTATTAGGTGGTATAGATGAGTGGAAGCCTGGTCTATCACCCAACTTCTTTGGAATAAAGATTGTAGCTTAATCAACAATGGAACTCAAGATTGTAGACGACCAATTGTTGTCACTATGCACATAATAAAGACTTGCTATAGTACTATACTAAATAACGTGTATTTATGATCATCAGTAGCAGATGTCAATAGCTCATACTTCTTTAGTTTTAACTGTTTTTGTACTCTTGGTATTTTGGATTGGAAAGCAAGAGATGCCTAAGTATCCACATAAGAAAATAATTTCTTCCAAAAGACATTTTCATTGAACTACAGAAATCATATACATAGAACTAATGAAGTTGTAGTAGCTAACTAAAATTATACAAAATTGTATAACAAGGTCTGAAGTCATTTTTAGTGTATTATTAGGTCTGTCTGCTTCAAATAAAACACTATTGCTCCAGAGCAGAGAAAAAGAAATAAGGATAGATAAAAGTTGCTGCAATAATCTTACATACATTATTCAAATTCTGTTGACCACAATGGTGCTTATTTGTTAATAAATTCTTATAGGATTACAACTAAATGTTCTATTAGTTGGGGATTTAGAAATGATTCCTTAAACCACACGTTATAAATAATTGATTTAGTTACCGAAATGAAGAAGATAATTCAGGAATTTAATAAATGACAATGCCTCTCATTTTTATACTTTTTCTTTAATCAAATTTGTGAAGTTAGCACTGTTTCTGCCTTTTTAAATATCAGCTGGATGTTTATCTTTCTAGCAGAAAAAGTTTCTAATTACAATACTTTCCCTTTGTAAAATACTAAAGGTAAATGTCATTGAATTATGCAACTGGTATGTGCTGAAATGGGCTCTTAGATCAAGTCACTAAACAGGATACAGTATGGATCTAAAGAGTATGCTTGACAAAAGGATCATCTTCTCTCCTATGTTCAGTATTTATTTAAGATTTGAGAGCATATGCACCAAGACAAATTTCTTGTGTGTCCAATCACACTTGGTCAATAAAGAATTCTATTCTATTCTAAGATTCTCAATAGCAAAGAGCTACAAACTATATCAAAACTGCAGGTTCTCTGATGGAGACTACTGTATAATGGTGTGTGAATCATTAAAAAAATCATATTTAATGAAATGATACTTGTTAGTAACAGAAATTAAAAAAGCATTCTCAACATTAGAGGATTTAAGACTGCCAAAAAAGCAAAGAGGGCCAAAGAACCATTTCCATTACTCAAGTACTCTTTAGATTCAATTGGCTATAGACTTACCTGGGAAGTAAGCCCCTCTAGGGATGCCAGTATAGGTGGTGAAAGCCACAGTCATTCAAAGTAGCAAGTAGCAAAAGAGCAGAAAGTAGACTATGAATACAGCATTAAACATCGACCAGCCCAGTGATTGAAAACAAAGCTAAAATGCACTTCTGCTTGGGACTTCAGACAGCTGCTACTACTCAAAAGACAAAATATTCTGTTGAGCAATGATCATAGTCAGAGTAGTGAAGCTTCATGTTTTTGAGACAATAGTTTCTTGTAACGAGTTCCAACTAGACAAATCAGATAGGTTGTAAGCATGTTCAAAAAGAAATGCCTTTTTTCATTGTCATAACACATTAAATATATTACAACTTCTAAAGAGCCAGCTGTAGGATATAATAGTGAATGTTATTTCTATAATAATATCTCTGAACTAGAAGATCTATAACATTCCCAACCCTTATTGAAAACTGTAGGAGAGAAGTTGGTTTGACAAACAACTAATTACTATTTTCATAGCAGTATAGTTTCTATGGATCAGACTCACTGCGTACAAAGATCAGCAAAAAGGTAGAAGGCACAACAGTCTAGGGCAAAACCATCTTGAAGCTACAGTCTTACGCAAAAAAAGTTACTAATTTTAAACATCATTTAACTTTAAAAGAAAAGACAAAGCAAAAATGGAAACATGAAAATGAATTAAGTATAAGTAAATAGCCTTGTTCATCTTCAGAATATAAGAGCTTCCTGTAACCAAGTCATACAGTCATCTCACTAGAAATAAGTATATTTACCCAGAAATGTGCATGGCAATTAACCATCATGGTCCTCTCAATAAGCTCATCAGGACATTCCAGAAGATGGTGGCCGGAAACAACACCAGCGTTGTTCACAAGGACTGAGACTTCACCAACCTCCTTGCAGACTCTCTCAGCAGTCTTGTATACATTCTCTCTGTCGCTCACATCACAAGTGTATGCATGAACTTGTAAATTGTAGGGAGGTAGCACTTCCTCTTCGCCATGCCCAGCTGCTTACAGAAATCCAGAAAAGCAAAGGAGAGGGACAAATAAGAATTTAATTAAATATATATTCAGTGTTTCCATACCAGGAAATAAGAGGCAATTATTAATCTACCCAGTTTGACAAGATTCTTGTTAGTCCTGTTCCAAAAAATAAAGTGTGACAACTACATACTAAAACAATGAAGTACCAAGCCCTATAGTGCTAATCTTCAGCAGTGATCTACTGATGCCAAATGGAAGGTAACACAACTGAAGAATGCACCATTACTGATTAAAAAATGAAACAGAGACGCCCCAAACTCAATAGGGATATGTAGACCTACTCTTTCCATATTTGTTCAGAAACAAGCATTATTGAGCACCATTAATTTTTCTTCAGGGTGCAATCTAAGTTATTTACCTGGGAATAACTGCTACTGGTTATTAAGACTTCCTACTAAATAGGTTAAACGTTATTTAAAATTATTTATATCATTGTACAAAATTATGCCACTTCCTACAACCTTATGTCAAAAAAAAAAAACACTTGACATAAGCGCTTTTTGCTTATTTTATAGCAACTGTCTATTTCTTAAATTGTAATAATCTATTTTAAAAAGCCTAGCTCCTACTATGATAGAAACAAATTCTGTTGTCACCACTGTCATTTTTCTGTAAGCTTTGAACCCTTACACTTTCAATTATTTATCCGGTGTCTTTTAGTCATTCAAAGTCATGGAGTAGAATGACATGGAAATTTATTTATTTAATTTGTACAACTACCCATCTCCAACCAGTGACTCTGGATGCAAACGATCATGAAACATTTAAAACAGAATAAAAATAAAAGGATATACATATAGCTAAGAGGCATCATGATACAATGCTATCAGCTGCAGTCAGTTGAACAAAATGCCCAAATTCCTAAACTTCTTGGGTGGCAAGAATGGAGAATATTTCCCTAAGAGCCACAGTTTCAAGAATACCCTTCAATGCTTCTCCTCCACCCTCCACTTCTAAACCCAAAACTTTTGAATATTTTCAAGTCTGCAGCACTTAAAGAGCAGAACAAGTCACGCTGGAGAGGCTACAAAGCAGCAACACAACTCACTGAACCTCCTAGTGACTTGTGGAAATGTCTCTTGCAAAACATCTCGTTATCCCTACCTTAGCGCTGGAATATTTTTATTCTAAGCAAAGAAAGCTTAGATACAATATTGCTTCTGAAGGTTCATTTGGATATACATTGAACTTAGTGAAACAGGAAAGGTCTATTCCAAGCACTATCAAGAATAAGAATAGGAATAAAGAATAAGAGTAAGAGTAAGAAGCTGAAGAAGCTTCTTGGATGAAAGAAGAACCAAACAGTTCAGTTGCCTCGTGAAAAGGCACCTTTGGGACTACCAAGAGTAATAGTTTCAACCGCGGCGGTCATACTCCTAATGTTCGCCCCTTCTCATTTCAGCGCACCTCAGGTCAGGATTTAATGATACCCACACAGTCCAATTTTCCTCCTTTGAACGAAGCAAGGCTCGATGCCTACTTTTCTTGCCCACTTGGATTATTTGGCGGCCGCCTCATGCGCCAGTGCCCAACCCCGGAGGGTCCGCCCGCCTTCAGTCAAGCCCGTTACCTTTCTGAGCCGCGACCACAGCTTCTTCCGAGATCTCCCGGTAGATGTGCCGCACCATGCCCGCCGTCTCCTCGTTGCTCTGCGTGTTGATGTCCCACAGGACCAAGCGTGCTCGGCGGCGGGCGAACTCCAGAGCAAAGAGCCGACCCATTCCGCTGCCGGCGCCGGTAATCAGGCACACCTGCCCGGCCACGCTCTTCTCCTTGGCGCGCACGAACCATTTGGCGGCGGCCACCACGAACGCCCAGAGGACCTTGAAGGTGACCACGAAGAATTCCAGGATGATGTTCATGGCTGCCGAGCCTCCCTTCGACCGAGAAGCCTCGGAGGATTCGGGGAGCCCCGTTTGGCGACGGCGCGAGGGAAGGAGGGAACGCGCTGGGTTCCCAGCACCGGCTCGAAAAGTCAAAAGCAGGAAGAGCCCGTTCTGGCGCGCCTGGCCCAGAGCAATTCGGGAGAGTGGCTCCCACTCTTCAGAGAGGCAGGCAAGAGTTTCTCTCTCTCTCTCTCTCACACACACACTTTGGACACTCTCTAAAGACACCTGGCTGGCCGGGACGGACCTGTAGGGAGTGCAACTCCTCCCCGCCTCTGACTCAGCGCTTGTTTTGTGCGGCGAGCACAAGCCCTGTTACCTAACGGCCCACCTTGCCTCTCCTGCAGGAGAAGCCAAACCTACGCGCGGCGAGTCGACGAGGGGAAGTCGGCAAAGTAGAGGAGCAAAGTACAAGTTCAGATAAAAGGATCCCCCTTCGTCCTGCCTCACCCGCTCGCGCACCGCTGGGCTCCCCTGTAAAAGGGCGCGAGCTGCGACCACCTTGCCGGCTTCAGCTAGAATACCGAAGGAGTCTAAGAGGAGGCTGCTACGGGAGCTGCTGCCGCTCTTCCGCGCCTCCTTCCCCAGCCCTACCTGCAACCTTTACCTCGCGCCTACGCCAGGGCTCCGCGCAGCGCCCGCTAAGTGAGCATGTTCCCACCGCTCGGGGCTCTATATAGCCCCGGCGCGAGAACGGCAGCCCGCCCCCAAGCTCCCCTCCGTCTGCGCTTCGCAGCCCGGCCCCCTCCTCCTCGTCGCCCACTTTGCATTCCGAACCGTTTCTCCCCACACATTTTCGCCCAACAGCGCCACCCTCGCAATTTGGCGGACGGCCCGGACTGGACCGAGCGGACAAGCCCGTCACGCGCGGGACCTTCCCTACCAACAGCCCCGAGAAAAAAGCTCGCGGCTTTTTTCTTTTGTTTGGCGCCGTCCACGGATTCGGCCCAGAAGTGGGCGAACAAGCCTAGCCGCGCGTCCTTTGGCAGCGACTCCCATTTCAGTCAACAGACACCTGAGTAGAGTTATAGCACCATGCCCCATGGTGTCACCAGGGAGTAGAAGTCCCCGTGGCTAAATTCACGCAATACTTACAATGTATACAAAGAGGAACCGGGACTTAGTTTAGCGTCAAGAATTCTATGCCATCTTTGAACAAAAGTTACCATCGCATAAACGTATCTCAGATTGTTAATCTGAGTCCAGAACAAAAGGAGTGGGTTTTAAGTAGCTCGAGATTGCTGTTTTCCGGTAAAGACTAACCCTGCCGGAAACAATGTGAATCGGGAACATTGTTGAGCGGAACTCCTAATTTTCTTTACAAGTGGAGAAGGCGCGCTGCTTTCTACTTGAAACCGCTTCCGTCGTCTAGTCCGCAGGATCACCTCGACGTGTCATTTTTTTCCCCATCATCATCCCCCAAAACCGGAGATCTGATCAATCCGATCCCAAATTAGTTGGAGGACATTTAAAGTTGATTTACTCCTATAAACTTCCTCGACATCTGCAAAACAGTGATTTCCCATGGAATTTACGGCCGAGATAACACATACGGACACGAAACATTGGGAAAGATCAAGTTCATAAAGGATTTCTGTACGAATGTGACGCCACACCGGCCACATTCAACTGGATTGGGAAGGCTGAAGTTAAGGAGGTGACCTACAGACACCAAAATTCCTAACCGTCCAAATGATGTAACTTCAGAATGCACCTGACTGTAATGCCTCTATATAGAAAGACTTGCTGCCGTAGCATGTTGTAATTCCATTTTAACTCTTTTGCCCTCCTAAGGTTGAAATGTATGCTGGGGAATGTAGTTTTTACATAAGCATTTGGATTTTCTCTCGTCTTTTAGGCTTTCCGATGCTTCGGATTCAGTTGACCCATTGTACTCGTACTGAACAGGATCTACTGTAAACTACAGCATCTTTCAAGTGGAGCTTGATTCCCGATGACACGATGGACAGTCCGCATTTACTTGGCAGTAAAACGAAAGAAGATTGCCTTTGCCAAACTTCCGGCCAGTCTTTCATCCAAATGAAAACAAACCAGATTCTTTCAAACCCAGCCACGTAATGCTCTTCGTACACGGACATTGTAATTTACATGGAGTAAATAGAAGAGAACGTAAATCCATGTAATGGATTTACGAATACCACGAAGTATTCCAATTTCCATATAGTAGCCTAGTGAAAAAGGCACTTGGGAAAAGCTTTAGGAGAAAGCCCCACTTAACCAACTTGGGTCATATATACAGTAAGGATGGCATACTGTATTCCATTCCATGTAGACGTCATTTATATTTAGACGACACTCTGATTGTCTAAAAAGGAGATGCGAAGAGATAAAAACAGGTAGTATCATCAGTCAAATTCCAAAATAGGTTACTTTAATACAGTGATAAAATAATATACTTTAAATGTCACCATCCCTTCTTATCACCTACCCTAGTTGGCAGTAAAAACGAAAGCATGAAAAAAAAAACTTTCACCATTTGAAGGAATCATGACAGCTTCCGCGTTCGTTTCAGCACTAATCTGGTCACCAAGCTGGTCTACTTGGTACAGGCATTAATTTAGACAGCTAAGCGGGAACAGGGGCTTCTCATTCAACAGTCCCTTCTATTGGCCCTCTAAGCGACAGTTTATGATCTCTGCGCATGCTCCCCGTCTCTCTTTTTCCGGTAGAGACCATGGCGGCCGAAGAGTAAGTAATGCTCTTGGGAGACAATCCGTTGCCATCCGCTGCGTTAAGATCTTCTTTGCAAGACTTTCTTTAAAAAAAAAAATTATCATAGCTTTGTAACTTGGAAGGTTTCCCCTAAACTCGTGCAACAGTTGTCTGGAAGGGTTAATTAGGGAGATGTGGCTGAGAACCGGATCCCTGCTGTAATGAATCGCGTTGAGTGTTGTAGAAGCTTATTTTTTCAGAGCGAGAGAACTCTAATGGAGGAGAGCATTTGAGGCCTCCCAGGTTCACTAGTGATTGGTTAATGGCTGATTAACCATTTCTTTGATTAATGGTTTAATCCGAGGCCGAGTTATTCCCTTCCGCTACTGTACACGCATACAGTGGTGGGTGAATGGAAGACAGCAAGGAATGTGGTCCTTCGCTCGAAATCAGGGATCCGAAACTCCGCTGTATTCATCGTTGAAAATCGGCGAAAAAACTTGGAATTCTTCCTGCTTTTTCCATTATTTTTGAAAATAAATGTCTTCCAACTTGTGACAATCAGTAGCAAACCTGGTTTCTCTAAGTTTTAGAATTATTTCAGTGGGCAAAAAACATGTGCAATAGTAACAGGCAGAGTGAATTGAAGGACTGATAGTGTAAGAATTGTTGATGATGCATATTTGGATAATTAGAATACATACCGTAAAAACTGCAAAAATGAACCAAATAAATAAAGAACAAAATATCTGAATTATCTGATGTGCTTATATTTCTTGCAGTTCTAGGATTTTTTTAAAAAAAAATTGGGTACATTTTACTAGTTATCAAACATTTTCATTTGAAATATTTTGATACAATTTTTGATAATTTGCTGCTTTATAATTTAGAGGAAAGAAGAAGTTGCCTTCAGTGCCAGAAAGCCTTTTAAAGAAAAGGAAGGCTTTTGCTGATTTAAAGGCCAAACGTACGAAGAGACTGTTGGTCCAAAAGAAGGTAAATACTATATTTTTAATTTATCCCATTAGATACATCCTATGACAGTTTACATAAAAGTACAGTAAAACAAATTCAAATTCCAGTATGATTTAATAACTAATTATATGCTCATTTACATAGTATAGGCACATGTTTACTTGGCTTATTAGCAAGTAAATCTATCAAATTGCAAGTTCATGACTTTTAATTTAAAGTCAAAGGTTTAAATTATTGCCCTGGTATGTTTCATTTTGATCTGAAGAGAATGATCAATTATGAACCTGCAAAAACTGCATTTATTTTTAACTTAAGTTTGAATTTTCTTTTAGTGTTTTGTAGCAGTGTGGCATCTACAGAACTCCAAGATTTTCCCATTTCAAGCAAAACAGAGCAGCTTATCTTAAACATACTGCTTTTATTCTGAATTCTGCTTTTTTCCTTGGAATGGACTGCATTCAATATAGTATATTAAATACATCCAATTTATTTGGGATTCATATACTACTTTGTTCATTTCCAAATCATTCTAGCTTCTATTCTAACATGTTTTTCTTAATAGACATGATCCCGGATCCATTTTTTTCTTAATATATATCTTGCACTTTAATTTTACATGACTTAGCAAGATATATGCTAAAAAACTGTCCACTACTCAGGATTTTGCAGCCATTCCTATATTGTACTTTGCTAAAATAATTCCTGCTTTCACTGTTCTCATTGAAAATCCTTGCCTGTCATCATCTGCTTTACATATATATAGTGTTTTCTGCTTGAGCAGAAGGTTGGACTAGAAAAGTCTCTCTTCTAATTCTGTAGTTCTGCCTTAGTCTTGTCTTTGGCTTGAATCTACCAAAATTTGGGAACTTGCCTTTCCCTGCAAGAAAAAGGTAAAGATGGTAAAGATTAAAAAGAATAAGCATTCACTTCAAAACAAGTGCCTTAAAAAAATTGAGAACAAGCACAAGTTGATTAGAAATGAGGGAAAATATTTTTTAAAAAATGAATTTACTGTCTTGGGGCTATGTTGTCCTTGAAGTGTAAATTGAAATTAATACTCATTTGGTTTGATGTCTAATTTTACCTGACAACATAGTTGTGACATTAAAATGGAGGATAACTGGTAATTCTGATGAGGGGTGAGGGAGAGAAAAAAATAAATTTCTCAATATAACATTCTCATTTCAGTTGCGAAAGGAGGAACGAAAAGTCATTTATAAAAGAGCCCAGGCCTACCACAAAGAATATAGGCAGATGTACCGTCGTGAGATTCGCATGGCACGCATGGCTCGCAAAGCTGGCAATTACTATGTACCTGCTGAACCCAAATTGGCATTTGTAATCAGGATCAGAGGGTAAGGTAAACAAGTGTAATGCTAGCCCTATGTGTACTACTATTTAAGCCTTGATAGGAAAGCAACTGTTAAACAGTTAATTCAAGCCATTACTAATTACAGAATTTTATTTAGATGTCAGTATTTTTTATTAAGGAGATTGTGATTGTTTATCACATTCACCTTGTCCATATTCAATTTAGATACACTTTAAAGACAGTTTTAAGTAGAATTTAATGCTTTATTTCTATCCCAGTATTGTACTGATTATATACTTTGAAGTCATTGGGTCAGATCATTTTTGACACTGGCCTGAAAGGTTTCAGACAAGATTTTTTTTTAACTTAATAAGCTAAGAATTGAAGTTCAGCTTCTTGCATACAAGAGGATGGTGTATTACTGATCTGTTGATGAAGAATTGTAAATTAACAAATGTTGGGTACAAAATAAATGTTCTATGCAGAAGTATAGAGAAGAATATACAGGATAACATGTCAGTAGGGGTGTGAAAAACTCACTGATGCAGAAATAGAAATTTCCTTAAAAAATCTAGAACTTTCTGTTCCCCCTCTAGACACTGCCAAGTGTCCTTTAAAACCAAGCTGCTGTTGAGAAGGTGATTCGCAGCTGCTGGAACTAAATCCTCCAAACTCGAAGCAGTTTGAAGTGTTATGGGGTAATCAGCCCTGAAATATGCCCCCTTTTTTAGGATATCTCAAACAGCTTCTGGTTCTAAGCTTTTATTTCTGGAGACTATGAAACTGCCTTTGGAAGTGTGGTCAACACTGAATAAAACATTTCATAATTCTCTGGAACTTTTCATGCGCAAATCAGTTCTGTAGATCACTACATGTTTGCATTTCTTAAGACAGATCTGAGATCAACCTCGTTTTTCTATAAACTCTTATGAGTTAATACCTGCAGCTGTCAACCAATAGTCAAATAACCAATGTATGATGTTTAATCTTCTAGATCTTCATAATTAATTTCCAATTGCTTCTTAGTTTAGATTTAGAGCAAGAAATGCTTTTTTAGGGTATAGGTATTCACATTTTGTAGAAGAGCGTTTTACATAGTTCCTAGCTAGATGACAGGAATTGCTTACCTTGGTTGATATCATAAAAGCTAAGTAGGCTTGGACCTAGTAAATGAGAAACCACTAAAAATCTTGTATGTAGGTAGGCTGGAATATTGAAAAAAAATCCCAGAATAAGTTTGGAACAAGCACATTAATGTTCCTAAGAAATAGATGGACTTTTATCCTTCAATTAAAGAACAGGTTATTAATGTAGGGCAACAATTACATATATATATATATTTATACTATGCAACATTTAGTATTGTGTGTTACCTTATAGATGCAAGTTTATTAGTAGCAAGTACATTTGAATGTATATGCTAAAAAGAGTTTCTATTTTGCCGTTTAGAATTAATGGCGTCAGTCCCAAAGTTCGTAAGGTACTGCAGCTCCTTCGTCTGCGGCAGATTTTTAATGGGACCTTTGTGAAACTCAACAAGGCTTCCATTAACATGCTGAGGATTGTTGAACCTTACATTGCTTGGGGGTAAGTTGAATCACATTTAGCGAACCCTGTCTGGGTTTTTTTAAAAGGATATCTCATTTATTAAAATGATGAAATCTACTTTTTGTTAGTGCTCACATTCACTTTTTAGTAGTGTCTTTGCTGATTTGCCATTTGGAGAGTTTGATCTAGAAGAGATTTTGCAACCCGGTCCTCAGACAACCCACATTTTATTATACCAGACTATATAATAAGACTTGGGGCCTACTAAATATGGTGATAGGAAGCATGGTCAAATCCTTGTTACAAGTGTTAAAAGATTAAAAACTTTCTTATTTATTGAGAAACTGGGGGCTTTACCAACAAATAGCACCTCATTCTTATACTCATGAATGCCTCAGAAACTTGCCAGGATGGTTTTGGTTCAGCATAAGAGTATAATTTCTTCTTGTGTACATGGTTATTCTTTAATGACTACAGAAGGAAATTTTCATAATGTCCTTGCAATGATTTAAAATAGAATTTGACACATAGACAGTGATAACCACAGACTATAGAAGTCTGGAAGATTTGGCTAGACTTCTATCTTGATCTGCCTGTGAATAAGACACTTTGCTAGAAAATAATTGGAAATAATTGTTCATATGTGCAATTTTAAAGTTGGGAACTATGTTGTGTTTCATGATTTCAGTAGCAACATTTTTTTAAAATTAATATATAACACAATTACAGGATTTTCCCCCTAGCCCTTGCCATCTTTCAGTCTAAATTTTCCAAGCAAATATTATTCCAAATTAGACAGTGCTAGGTTTCCTTAATAACTAATTTCAGTGCACTGGAGAAAGTGAGAGTTTCAGAAGCTTCAACCTACAGATTTTTTTAATGTTGTATCCCAAATGGATTTTTTATGTAAGAGGAATAGATGCCAAATATATGCAAAATATGGTTTTGTATTCATTTTATTATGTTTTTATTGATCAGTGATAGAAATAAAATTGTCTGTAATTACACCAAAGCAATTGCTTATCTTCTAGATATCCTAACTTAAAGTCTGTGCACGAGCTGATCTATAAGCGTGGTTATGGGAAGATCAACAAGCAGCGTATAGCTTTGACCGACAACTCTTTGATTAAGAAAAGCCTGAGTAAGTAATTCACATTTCTGCTTAACCTAGTGATAGTTTAAGGAACTTTTCTACACAACAGGGTGTGCTGGTTTGAATAATTTCAGTTGTTTTGTGTGTGTGTATAAAGGCTACTTTTCCTTGAAAATTCACCTAATCCATCTGCAGTATAATGTATATTGGCTCATATTTTCAAATCTTGGTAGCTTATTGTTTCATGAAATAGAAGCATACAGAACATAGCAATATATAAAGTTCAGAATAAGCTTTTAGAATTCCAATTTCTTCTTGCAGTAGTTACATGTGTGCAAAACATCTGAGATCAAAATGTTTCAACCTTATAAACATCTAAATTTACTGGAAAAGTTCTAATATTATAAATCATATTTTCTGACAAGATTTAAATGCTTAGAAGAATTATGTTTTGGAAACCAAATGATAAATATTAGTTCCATTGGAGATCTAGCAAATTAGAGTCAGAATAACAGTAAAGATTGACAATTCCAGAAGTTTAAAATATGCAGTATGTACTTTTTAATACAGCAGGATTTAAAATAGTACATCTTTAATTATAAATATATATTTTAATCCAAACAATAATTTGGTATATTTGTATTTAAATGCTGCAAGATCACAGATGTCATATTTTGTGTATGTGTGTGTGTATTAATCAAAGCAGAATAGTTATATGCAAAACGTTTTGAATTTGAAACATTTTGAACTTGTAAGACAAGTTTGAAATGCTCTGAGTTTTGAACAGCTATTCCAAATATTTAAAAAGTGTTCCAAAGTTGAGAAAGTACCATTTGGAGCCCAAAACAGTGTAAAATGAGCACTTCTGAAATGAGTACTTCCAAAATGGCCAGAACAATCCATTTGGAATTTGACACCATTGCTTTCAAGTTGGTATGATTTAGACTTTAAAACATTTTGCACATTTCCATTATTTAAAAATAATTGGCAAATTTTAAGTGAGTGTGTTTTACAGTATATTATAGTATTTATTTATACTTGGGACATTTAATCTTTCACTACTTTAAAGTTCTCTGGACAGATTTCGTTATAGAAATAGTCAGAAAAGTACAGAGCAGATGACTTGTCAAAGGGTCAAGTGCCTGAACTATTGTTTCACCTGGGGATTCTGTAGCTTGTTTTTTGCTATAGTGACTCCAGGACTTTATAAGAGCAAGCAAAGCCTGTATTCTTCAAATAGCATGGTATGATTGAAACATTGATAGTTATGAGTTTTTAATTGACTGATAGAATACCTCTGATTTCTACAGAAGATATATTTCATGTGGGCTTGTTTTGGGGATGTGTAGTTGCATATGAAAAGGAGGTCTGTGGTGAACTGGGCTCCCTGTCATCTGCACTGGGGTTTCTAGATTTCTAGTTGAAACATTTCTGCTGCAACCTCCCACCCTCCCAGGGAGATTCAAAAGTAGAACTGCAGTTTAAGTCCTCCTAGAAAAGCGTGCCAATTCAAACCATTTCTGAACTTAAACAGCTGAAGTGATTCACTTAATAAGTGTGGCAAGAAAAATCATAAAATGGGGCAAAATTCACTTAAGTGTCTCACTTAGCAACAGAAATTTCAGGCTCAATTATGCTCATAAATTGAAGACTACCTGTATTGTATTTTATAGTTTTTTGGGGGATTTAGGGCTTTGCTTGCCTGGCTTCTTGCTGCCTGGAAAAAACCTGTTTTGCTCTTATCATCAGGGAGAAGGCACAACAAAAGCAAAGCAGAATTTTATTTCTTTTTTAAAGGCCACCAGAGACAGGAATGTTCCTATTCTTGGTTCTTCAGTTTCATTTGTTCTCAGGACATTATCTTTACTGATGGTGTAGATCTAGTTGATTGACAGATTTCCTTTAACTATTTCTGAACCTGCTGGGATGGGAAAGTTGAAATATTTTGAGCATAGTAGAAATAGCCAGACTCCGCATGTTTAATATGCCTTTCATGAGCAAGCAAGAGCATTTTGCAGACTGAATATTTTCTGATGTTCGTTTTAATTTTCAGAAAAATATGGCATTATTTGCATGGAAGACTTGATCCATGAAATCTATACTGTTGGCAAAAACTTCAAAGCTGCAAACAACTTTCTCTGGCCATTCAAGCTATCTTCTCCAAGGGGTGGAATGAAGAAGAAAACAACTCATTTTGTAGAAGGTGGTGATGCAGGAAACAGGGAGGACCAGATTAACAGAATGATTAGGAGGATGAATTAATGGTAAGATACAATTAGATGATTGCATTTCCAACATACTGATTTTGATCCCTTGTTTTTTTTTTACTAGTGCTGTTATGTTGTTAATTCTACACTTTAAATAAATACCAGAAAAGGAATTAGCTTCTTTCCTTAATGGGTTTTAAATGTTGCCTTTCTGGGGCTGTAAGGGAAGAGAGAATTAAATTTTTATTGGGGCATAAGATAAAATGATTAATCTTACATTTACACTCTTAAGTATATCCTAATTTTTAAAAAATAAAATTTAGCTGGCTGTAGCCAATCCTTCATCTAGTTGACATCTCCTTTGTAGAATGGAGCCCTGAAAGTACCAAAGGTTCTGTGTGCTTAATTCAGAAATGGGGAAGTAAATGCAATATAGTACATTGGTGGTTTTCAGAAATTTTAATACATTACCTGTATTCAATATTTTCTCTGAAACATGATTTGTTTTCTGCTTTTAATGTGTTATCTCCTCTCTTCTACAGGCTCAGAAGATGACTGATCTACATATTGTTAATAAAGAACTATGAAAACTGCTTGCATTGTTAAATTCTTTTACTGATATATGCAGTGCCTCTGAATATTCTGATTCTTCTAAATATGATTAGGTAGTACACTAACAAAGTGAATACTGCCATTAAGTAACCTAAGAGTCATAACTTTAGTGAATACAAGGTGTATCTGTACATTGCATAAAAAGGCACATGATGACTTCAGTTATCTAACAGTTGACACCTGTTTTGCCAGAGTTTTAGCTAAGTTATGTGCCATTATGTTAAGTAACTTGCTCACTGATACCGTACATTGCCTCTGCATTTCAAACACATACACTTAGTCCTGCTTCTTTTAATAAACCAGTGGGATAAGTTAATGGAACTATAATTAGGTTACTGGAAGGAAAGTATATATGCTTTATATTATTGGGTTGGCTTAATTGCGGAATAGTCCCTATAGTAATACCATAAATATTTTCTCACTATACACCTTTTTAGTCAAGAAATTATTTTCTAATTAAATCAGGGTTTGGCATCTAGCTATGGTATTTTTCTTTTTGGTGTCCAAATGGCATTGCCTACAAATGGAGCTGGATCCCGTGTGAAAATAAAGTAAAACATGGTACAGTATAATTAAATTCTGATTAAACTGCTTGTCAATCATTGGGCTATTAAGTGAGTAAGAATACCAGGATTTTTTTTTCCATATTTGGACATGAGGTAAGGAAAAAGTTCCACAGTGGAGCAGGAAAGGAAAGGAATGGTCTTTTGTATTAAATGTTTAAATATAGAACATTGTAAAATGAAATCGATTGCATACCACATCCAGCCCTTTGGCTGTCCCTACCTGGCTCCCATGAGGTAAATTAAAAATTAAATGTGAATAAATAATTGTAATTTTACAATTGAATGGAATTAAGTTCAGCTTATTGGTTTGTCCCCCATAACACTCATTTTCTCATTGAGCCAGTTGGGAAAATCAATTGCCCATTCCTGTGTGCTATGCTTTCATAAATGTGCTAATCTATAATTACTTTTGCTAACAAATCAGTTTAAACCCTAGCATTCTTAATGAAATAATCACAATGACTATTCATATTTTAATGATGGCTTGTTGAATAAACAGCTGATTTCAGACATGGTAAATTAGAATCAAACCACATTGTAGTTTATGGTATCTATCCCTAGGCTGCTTTAGCAAGCTCAACCGTGGTGGTGTGCATGAATAAAGCCATTAGCAATGGAATGGTTAGGAATACTTCAGAAATGCGTTCAGGATTTAGAAATCTGAAGCAACTAATTGCAGGAAATGGACAAGAAAATCTATTCCTCATATTCAGCATATTCTGGATTTATGATTAGGTTTATGATCTTTGCATTATTGCAGGCAAGACCGATCTATAGATAAGTTTTATTTATTAAATTTCTATGCTGCCCATCTTGCTATCCAAAGTTATAATTTAGTAGAGAACTAGTTTGGTGTAGTGGTTAAGGCATAAAGTTGGAAGCCAAAACACAGTTCCACCTTAGCACAAAGCCACCTTGGTCCAATCACTTCACTTAGGAAGGAGACAGTGGAAAAACACTTCTGAAACAAAACAAAACTAACCTTGGCAGTCTCCAGGAATAAAAATAAATTTGCATACTTAACTAATTTCAATGACTAGGTTTGCACAGTATTACGGCTAGTTCATGCTTGCTGGGAATCTGAAACAAATGCTTTGAATGTAGTTTAGAGAAGGATGCATGCATTTAGATGTGGTTGAAAGTTGGGTTTTTTCCTCCATTTTGAGTAACCAATTTTTAAACAATTTGGTTTGGACAATGTAATCATGATAATATATTTATTAAACATCAAATTTTTCTTTTACATTAATTGTGATTCACTGATCAACACAACATATGTTAAAGGAGATCAAAAACATCTAATTGCAAAGGAGCCTGCTCCTTGCACAATCTAGTTCTATGTCTCTTGTTTCTTAGTCTTCCTTATTTTTTTGGTTTTCTCCTCATGAATGGTTGTGCATTCAAGAGCAGCTAATTCAGCAAGCCTCTGAAGGAACTGAGATGTGGCTCCACTGACAGGATCAGCAAATTGGTAACCTAAGAGAAGAAAAAAGATTCTACTTGATTGCCTATCATTTTCATTTAATGATACATGTCAAAACCATGTGGAAAATACAAACTGGCTCATAATTGAAGACTCCACTGACATTCCTGTCCTTTTAGTCACAACAGAGAAATGGTTATCAGTGCTTTTTGGGGTGTTTTGCATTTTTAAGATAAGTATATAACTCCAGGTTTCATTATGGTCTCCCATCCAAATGTATAACCATATTCAACTACAAGACTGCCCACTGCCAAGAGTTTAATCCTGACTGACTCAAGGTTGACTCAGCTTTCCAACCTGCCAAGGTGGGTAAAATGACCCAGTTAAGGACAGTATGTTGATGTAAACCACTTGGAGTGCTGTGAAGCAGTATACATCTAGTGCTGTTGCTATTTTTGAGATCTGCAAAGGTTGATTAATGCAGTAATCATTTTGCAGATCCAGGTTGCAACTTAAATCCTCCCCTTTTTAGATGAGTATTTTGGTGGTGAGATGCTATCAGTCAGAATGAGGTGGACTTTGCCAGCCCATGTGTTTTTCTGTCCATATTTAGAACTGGAGGTAGACCGAAAACCAGAATTTAACAGGCAAGGTGCCTCAATGCCCAAGAGTGCAAGAAAAGGGGCTTAATTCTTCCCTAGCAAACAATAAATATGGAGTGGAAAGCTTGAAATATCTTCCATTTCTACTCTTAACTTTGGGGGGAAATAGTCAAAATTCAGCCACTTTTGTTACCAACTAAATGCAAGTGTGCTATACAAGCTATCTAAAATGGATAATATCACTATAAATGCACTCAATATACATTAAAATATCCATAGCAGCAATCCAGATGTTCTGAGAAATACAGAAACTGAAAATCATAATTATTTCCAGGATTTGTGGTAGATGTATAAGGGAATTGTATGAGTGGCTATCAAATTAGAGCTAACAGTTATTTAAATTCAAAAATACATTTATATTTTTATTACCACAAATAATTGCTCTTTCAAACATATCAACTGCAACAGAAATAAACCCCCAAAATGGGAAATTACAATGCCAAGTTTTTAATTGCAATCAATGAAATGTACATGTGAAGATATTGCTAAATATTGATCGCCAGTACCTCACATTTTAGGAGCTCTCTCTTTGCTGGCAAAAGAAACTGATGCATTTACTATCCCTCTAACTGAGTTCTCACAAATGCAGCTCATCCCCACTTTCCCTGGTCAAAGTGGCTAAAGCTGGTAAGAATTCTCCTTCATAGAATTCCAGCAAAAAGACCCCAAAGGTAGTTCTGCCTAAATGACTTGTTTCTTTGATTTTTATCTTCCAGTAATGTTTGGGAGGGAACCAGTCTGAGTGCTAGGTAAAGGGTCTTGCCCTCTTAATATGGCAGTTGGAGTGCCTGGAGCAACCTATATAAGCCCTACTCTGGTATTGCTTTAAGGTTTTCGTTTTAAGTCAAGGCAGAACAGACATCCACAATGTAAACACCTGCACAGCTACGTCTGAGCCTACTGTGATCATCAGAATATTTTCTCTCCCAGACAATCTACACTTTACAGTATGAGGGAAATTATTCTGGATTCCATTCTTTGCCCATATTGTGGAGAAAATAATATTCAATATTGAATGTAAAATACAATGTGTGAGAGGATAGGTTGCCTGCAAAATGGCTAACACCTGTGTTACTGTTCTCTGTCCTCTTCAAGCCTGTGGTAGAAGTAGGAAAGAGTGGAGTAGTGAGCAGTGAGTACTAGCCTTTGAGTGCTTGTGTATTGCGAAGGGACCTGTGTGTTTGTATTGGCTTTTGGAATTTGAAGCCCACTGACTGGGTAAATGTAAAACAACTTGTGATACAGTAAAATACAGTGAATACTAATTTGCTTAATTTTTTTTAAATAAAGGCAGAAGTAGGAAATGGCTCTTTTACCAGTCCTGTACTTGACCCTTCCTGGAAATGAAGCCAGTCTGGAACACCTATTGAGTTTCTTCAACCTATAAATGTGCAAGAACATATTGGATAGCATATTTTAATTGCCAATAATTATTTGTTTATATGAAGTCAATGGTGCGGCAGGAAATTAAAATATTGATTTAATAGTCATATACAGAAATATTTCTCATGATATGATTCAGTAGCCATCACTACCCACATTTTAAATGGTACTGTATTCTTAAGTACTGAAATTGTAGTTGGAGATACAGAATTATCATATCAAATCAGATGTAGACATACTATGGGTTACAAACCATTTTGAAGGTTTAATATTGCTGAAAATGGTACTTTTATTTCATTAGGTAGGGTATTTTCTTTACATTTCTTTATTACATTTCCATTCTTGCCTTTATTTCAAGAGCTCAAAATCATTTAAATTTAAGAAAAAGATTCACTATCCCAAAGTCATTCAGTGCTTCCTGGTCAGTGGGATTTACTCCCAGATCAAAGTGTAATATTTAATCAAGAATGGCACATTCAAGAATAGCACTTAGGTAATAGCCTAGTTTTTAAAAAAATTAACTTTCAGCATTTCACTAGTTAGCTATCTTTGCCCTTTCAAACCATTTTACCTCACAGCATCCAACGCTCCAGCTTGACAGTGTGGTTCAGAGTTCTTCAGAGGTGCTGATATGCAAGGCACCTCTTTTTTGGTTGGATGTCCCATGGCAATGTCTCCCCTGTAAAGAATGATAATACATCACAGGTGTGGGTGTATTAAATCTCCCTTCTAAAATAACTTATTTTTTACTATTGGTAATGTGGAAAGTGCTTATGGCCTTGCATCTTCTAGATCAGGGGTGTCAAATTCAAGGCCTGTGGGCCAGAGCTGGCCCGCGGAACTGGCCTGGAAACAGCAAAGGACCGGCCCACAGTGCCTCTGCCAGCAAAAACAGAACTGGAGGTGGTTGGGTACAGCCCCCCCAGGCTCTGTTTTCACTGGCAAAGGGCTGGAGGAGGCAGTCGTGGCTGAAAATGGGGTGCAGGGCGGCCACAGGCAGCCCTCGGGCTTCGTTTTTGCTGGGAGAGGGTATTAAACTAAAAACAAAAGGAGAAATGTTTCCTTTTGCATTTGGGCATGCAAGAAGAGACAAGAAAAGAGAAAGCAGAAGAGAAAGACAAGAAAAAGAAGGGAAGATGGGAAGAGAGCAAGAAAGGAAAAATAAGGAAAGGGGGAAGGAAGCAGAAAGAATGAAGAGGGAAAGAAAAAGAAGTGAAGGGAGGGAGGGTAGAGAGGAAAGAAGGAAGGAAGGAAGGAAGGAAGAAAGAAGGAAGGGAGGGAGGGAGATTATAATGAGAGTGAGGGAAGGTCTCAGGGAAGTCCTGCCTTAGCACTTGGCCACCACAGGTGTCACCAACACAAGTCCTGTGTCATGCCCACTTCCAGCCACGCCCACCTTGGCCCTCTGAAGTCAAACAACCCTGATGCCGCCTTCAATGAAATTGAGTTTGACACCCCTGTTCTAGATCAATGTTTCTCTACCTCAAAAATTTCATCTCTTAGAATTCCCCAGCCAGCATCTTCTGCTTGCCAAGTTTGAGAAACACTAATCTAGATGCTTGAGCTATGGCTCCCAGAGTGCATAACCATCTGGCAGTGCTGGCTAAGATTAAGGAAAATTGAAATACAACATACCTAGAAGAACCAAGCAAAGTATCTGAGAAAACTGTATTATGAGCATATTCAATTATATAAAATTTATTCTTTACCTTAAGCTACACTGAATTCAACTGTGACCATCCCCTAATTTTTGGTATTGCAAATCAATACCAATTAAAATATTTGGTAAAGGAACCATATGCTGAGAAGCTTGAATAAATAAGATTTGTCTTTGGAGATAATGATTTCCATAAGGTAACCTAGACTTCTGATAACTACATAGGCAAGTCTATATAGTTTTATTGGAAAATAGTTCAGTTTGCTCTTGCTTTCTTCAGTTTTTGTTTTTGTTTGATTTACCAGTCTAATCTATAGTTCTGGAATTTCCTGGTGGTTTCCTATTCAAATACTAATCAAATTTGATCTTGATTAATGGATTAGCTCTAATCTAATTACACCAGCCACAATTGGTTAGGTGCTGCCATCTATTGGATAAGTCATAATGAGTTATTTCAAAGTACTACTCTTGTATATTATTTAATGTACAATTACACAACTGATAAATACCAGCGTGCACTTTTGTCCTCTAACCAAAGTTATTAGAAAAATGGATTCAACTGCCAAATAACTTTGTGATCTCCCTATTAGACCCGGAGCTGAAGCCACTGCCAATTGTTAAATTTTCTAGAATTTTTGAACCAATAGAGAGAATTGCTGAATAGATAAGCTGTTTTGTGGTCAGTGGCAAGGCACAGTAGCAGCAGTGGAGTCAGCAATGTTGGGGATATCCAGAGGCACTGGATTGGGAGGGGTAGCTGGTTCTTTACTAGCATACCACTGGCCAGACCCATGACATCTGAAATACATTTTATTTAATTTGGCAAAGCGACAGTTCTTTTTCTCCAACACTAAATGAACCTTGAACATACAGTATGCCGAAATCCAAGAGCTTAGGAAAAGTGGTAATATAGCTCTATTAAACTGACTATTGATTTGTTTTGAAATCCAATTTATGTACTTGTCTTCCCTTGTTTTCTGTATTCTCCTTTTCTCAACAAATATATTTTCATAGCTAGAAGTTTTTGGCTACAATTTTTTTTAAAAAAAACATGTATTTGTGGAACATTTATTTATTGAATCATGTAAAAATACCAATATTAAACCCAAGAGATATTAATATATTTTTATTAAAAACACTATTTTTAACAAATAAAAATAAGAATGGCATTATGTTAATTTTTTGCAAATACCTTCAAGATCTGGAAAGTAATTTGATTTTGTGGACTCTCCAGGGGTCTTTGGACCACACTTTAAAAAAGCACTGATTTAGATTGTTGCAGTAATAGTAATAGTTTTCTTTATTATGTGCTTATCACTAACTGCAATACATGAAAGAAAACAACTAAAAATGCATTTCAATTAATCGTACTATGAAATAATATGAGCTGCTTTTAAACTAGAAGGCTCATAAGTGCTTAAGTAGATCAGACCAGAAAAACCAACCTCACAGGATGACCGGTACTGCACTTTATTTAGATTGGCTAAAATAAGAGAATCTTGCAAGTCAGATTATGCTTTGCCTCTCTTCTTTATACCCGAAATAACTAGGGAAGTACTTGCCTGAGCTGCTTATGGGTATTAGCTTGCTTTCCAGGACTTTAGAACTTTTCAGCCTCAAGAAGTTGTGGATTCTCTAACACTATTTTACAAAGAAATTGGACAACTATTTGTTTGAAATGGCATAGAGTTTCCTGTTTGAGCAGGGGACCATCCAACTCTGTTGTTCTGTTCTGTTAATCTGCTTCTTTGCCTAGGTAAGAGTTCTTACATATTTCTTGCTTTGTCCAATAACATGGAATACTTCTATATATTTAAAATGACAGGTAAGTTTTTTTTTAAAGTAATAAACTAAGTCCATAGGGGTACATGGGAAAGAAGAATGTTTATTTATTTTTCTAAATTTAAATGATCTGATTCCAAGTGTCAGCCTGATGGAAGCCTTGTGTTTACTCAAGCTACCGCTTGTACAGTGCTGGGATTCAATTTTTTTTACTAATGGTTCTATGGGCGTGGCTTGGTGGGTGTGGCTTGGTGGGTGTGGCTTGGTGGGCGTGGCAGGGGAAGGATATGCAAAATTCCCATCCCGTCCCCACTCCAGGGGGAAGGTTACTTCAAAATTGTTCCCGCCCCACCCCACTAACCTGCTTTCCAGCTCTGTTCTCCTGTGTAGGGCAACAAAAGAAGACTCAGCCTATCAGCTGGGACTTGAAAGGCAGAGAATAGATGGGGGCAGGGCCAGTCAGAGGTGGCATTCCAAACTACTCAAAATTTCCGCTACTGGTTCTCCGAACTACTCAAAATTTCTGCTACCGGTTCTCCAGAACCGGTCAGAACCTTCTGAATACCATCTCTGCCCTTGTATTGGCTTTTTTAGCATAATGTGTACCAGAAACACACTGTCAATGTTGATTCCTGGCAAGGTGTTTCAGAAGTAGTTTGCCATTGCCTGCTTCTTACGACTGAGAGAATGACTGGTCCAAGATCCCCAGCTGGCCTTTTGTCTAAACTGGAACTAGAACTCACAAGTGTCCTGGTTTTTAGCTCAACCACTACACCAAACTGCCTCTTGATCTTAATCTTTGCAAGGTTGCAATTGACCAAATTTGAGGAAGGTAGAAGACAAAAAATGTTAAGGATCAGAACAGATCTCTTCAGTTTTCTAAACTCTTCCAGCTGCTCCAGAAACAACTGCCTCCTCCTAAAAGGGACAAAAAACTTGTCCTCACCCATGCCGGTGATATTCTGAAGCCGTAAAATAGGTATGTAGGTAATATATGTGGCCTATAGTTTGCTCACATAAGGAATATAATATTACAGTAAAGTTAATTCCTTTCAATAAGAAATTAAGTCTTACCTGCTTTTGTAGTAGCCTTCAAAAAAACTTTGGGAAAGAGTAGTTGGAAGCAAATATAAAGGTGGCAATCTGGAATCTTCATTACTATCAGAGCTAAATGATGAAAATAATAACATTAAATTAGTTTAGTTTAATTTATTGTCATTTCACCTCGTACAGTGAAATTAAATACCATCTTCAGTGTACATTATGACTATGAAAATAAACAAACACACATCCTTCACATTCTATACATTGAATTGAAAACCCCTGATACTGCATTATTGCATACAGTAGAATTCAATAGAGGTACTGCCCTAAAGACTAGCATTAGCAGCTGAAACACTTAGGAAATCGACAATGATAACTTATCAGTGTCCCAATTCCTTCTTCGTCTTTGATCTAGTCACCAGAGTAAATTCCTACTTACTCTAATGTAGACAATAATGAATATTGCAAATTAGCTATTGTTGCCTTAATCTGGTGGCTTTTGAACTGCTATTCTATTTTATTTTATTCACTGTTTTGTCACAGACTGTTCAGAAGTTACTCTAAAAGCATTTTAATAGCTTATCATGAACTGCTTTGGGTGCTGTTTATTGGAAATTTGGCAAGAGTAAAAGCCTTAAACTGAGGCCCTTTATGGCATAGGCAGGACATTATTTTTATTTATCACTTTATCACTTTTTTTTCTTAAAAACACAAGAATTAGGACCAACTCTGGAATATGGGTAATAATCTGAGTATATAAGAAAGTATTTTACTCAGGAATAGCATCTTGACAACAATCATAATGACTCCTGGGTGCTAACCTTATATTGCTATAATTTCTAAGTACTGTCACAGTTAACCTCAGAAATACAAATAATACAATAATGGGATCATTATTGATCCATGCATCATGGGAGCTGTTCATATCTATTTTTTGTAAAGTATTTTGATGACATCAAATGAACAATGCAAACAAGGATAATTTGGGAATGAAATGGCACTTATGATTCTGTAAATTATTTTGTGCAGTACAATCTGAGAAATAACATTTGCATATTCCTCATATTAAAACCCAAAATAAAATAATATACCTGCTTGGAAATTGATCAGCACAACTTTGTGTCTTTTGTATAACAGGAAGGGAGTTTGGTATTGCAGGATATTCTTCCGTACTCTGAGAAAGACACTGCATTGCAGTATTTTCATTGGAATCACTCAAGCCATATGCAGAAGCATACTCTGCTTAGGGGAATAATTCAAAATAGGAAACATAAAATATCAGACCAGAATTTCAAATACTCTAGCCTTATTTATAAGTGCACAGAAATCAAGCACTGAAATCAATAGAAGAAATACGTCCAGAATAAATAAGGACATGTTTACCTAGAGATACTCAACTTGGCTGTCTAGAGAAAAAAAAAACCAAGTCACAACAGAAACAATGCTCAACAATGGGAGCACCTTCTATTAAATCATTTTTAGATATATAAATGCTTAAACCAAAATAGAAAAGAAACAAAAACTAAAAGCTGTCTTTATCATGACAACTCCACATAGAAATGTAGAGACTGAATAACATCTTCCTTATGATACACTGTCAGTTCCCATTATCTGCTTGAAACATGCAGGCAAGACAGCTGCAACAGAAATATAAACTCCACAGATTTCCATAAGACTTACTCCCAGGTATGTGCATATCAATATTACTTACAAAGGTTCAAGTTACGAACTTTTGCTAATGCAAATAAATCTATCCACAACTCTAACTTAGAAGGTCCCAGTAGTCAACAGAAGATGGAGAACAGTTAGCAGCAGGCATGATATTCCCCTCTGAAAAAAAAATTGGGGCCGGCCAAAAGAGACCCCCCACCGCGCGCCAAGAAATCGCTGCCCAGTTCCCTTTTCCTGCCGCTCAGCGGCCTCCACTCGCACCGCCCGCCGCTCGCACCGCCCGCCCGCCTGGGCTCCGCTCGCACCGCCCGCCCGCCCGTCCGGGCTCCGCTCGCGGCGATTCCCAAAAAAATCGGAATTCCGATTTTAATCGGAAGAATATCATGTCTGCAGTGCCAGAAACTAATTCTTTCCCACCCTCTCCAAAATTCTACTTGCATACTGTTAAGGTAAGAACTGGGTATGCTTTTTATGCTTATTGGACTTGCAAAGAAAACAGAGTTTTGAATAGCCTCTCGGAATGTAACCTGTTTATAACTAGAGCACCGTCTATATAGAACTGCATCCTCCTAATAGATGGACTTAAATGCATCCATCTCAGAAAGCTGTTAATGACAAAACCTCCAAAAAAGAACTACAGAAAAATTTAAATATGTTAATCTTAACCATATGCTGCTGATATTATTATAATTATGATTTAAACTGTAAATATAACTAATTTTATTTACATTTTAAAAAATTATATAATTGCCTTCAGGGCTGCTTCCCAAACGATTGACAAAAAATGTTCAAATGTAACATCAAACAAAACAAAACAATAAGAATTCAAAAACACTAATAAATCTGTGGAAGAAAGACTCTTTGAAATCTTTTAAAAATATGCAATGTCATGGCAACACCTGTATAAAATTACACAACTATATTTAATAAATACTTTAACAAATTTCCTGCAAAATTGCTATATGTTTTACCTTGTTTAATTCTTTTTGTCTTTAAAACCGCATTTTTCCAACTATCCATAAATGGTTCACTTTCAAATAATTTTCCTTTACGATCCGGGAATTTATTATCAGGTGTCAGGAATGGCAATTTTCTTTCTTTTGGGATTGGCTGAAAAGTGGTATGTTTCCTATTTCAGACAGAAAAATGGAACACCATGCGCATATGTAAAAACAACAAATAAGTAATGTTTCTCAAATATTATAAAGCACAAATATATTTCAGATAAACAAGTCACTAAAGAATCTGGTTACAATGCTACCATTCATTTCAAACACACTTTCTTTCAGCTTTTGGTAACCAAGGTCCTTTCTTAGAGGTGGGAATACAACTTCTGGAACTCCAAGACAAACAGGGCCAATGAAGGATGAAATACTTCCCAATAGATCTGAAGGGACCAAGTTATAAAAACTTCCCGAACTGATCATCCCTAAACAATATTGCTTTGGCTAACTGACAGGTTCTATACACTATCATGGGTAGTTTTAAACCTTATACTTTTAGGAATCTGTTTCTATATCAATAGTTTTATGTGAAACTCCTAAACATCAGCCATGGCTGCCATGGTATATTAAAGAACTGTGGAAAATCTTCAAGGGTAGTTTTCTTGCACTTTGTATGTAATTTGTATGTAGTCCATACAAAGAGCATTTCAGACATTTAGTAAGAGTAGGCAAGCTGGCTTTCAGAAATTTCAGTACTACATTTTTTATTAATTTATTAAGGAAGTTTAATGACTCTCTTTAGAAATCATGGGTCTTAGGCAAAAATAATCTTCCAAAAGCAAAAAATTGTTTTATTAAAGAAACAGATCTTATACTACCATTGCTATCACTGTCTTAGCTATTGATTCTTTTATATATGTTTCAACTTTAACATTTCCAAATAGGTATTTCAGTTTGTTCAATTTCCCTCTACCCTAAAATAGCAAATGGTATATCCTAAATGTTCTTACCTACCAAAATATGTTTTAAGAATAATTATTATAAATTCCAATGTGCCATAAAAAAAATAAAAACGTATGTTTTTCTCAAAATCATAATCCAAGAAAAATATGCCACAATTATATCATGACTATATTCAATAGAAAAATACTTTGCTAATAATTTCTACCTATTATTATTTTGGTTCAGACATTGATTGTTGTCTGTGCCGTCAAGCTGTTGTTAACGCATTGGGGTCGCATAGACAGATTTCCTCCATCACAATCTTTCAGATCTTCCAACAATGTCTCATTGCTTGCAGTAACTAAGTCTATCTTGCTGCTGGTCTTTCTTTTTCTTTCTTTCCTTCCTTCCTTCCTTCCTTCCTTCCTTCCTTCCTTCCTTCCTTCCTTCCTTCCTTCCTTCCTTCCTTTCTTTCTTTCTTCCTGATCTTCCTTCTTTCACATTTTCCAGCATTAGAGCTTCTCCAGAGAGTTTGGTCTGTGCATACTGTGCTCACAGTGGAATAATTTGAGCCACGGCATCTGTGCCTTGAGTGGGAACTCTGGGTGGATTTTGCTCAATGATCCATTGGTTTGTTTTCTTGTCTGTTGATGGTATTATCAGGAGTATTCTCTAAATATTTCAAAAAGCGCTCAAGGTACCGTGTTTCTCACATAATAAGGCCGGGCCTTATTTTTTTTTGAACCCCGAAAAAACGGCTAGGACATCTTTTCGGGGGTGACTTAATTCCCCCCCTTGCATCCTCGGGTGGGTGGGCGGGCGGTGACAGCTTGGATATTCGGGAGACCTTCGGGTTCGGGCCACCGTTGCTTTCCCTTCTCCCTTGCTACCGCGGCATTAGAGCAACGCCGTGGCGTTTGGCACAGCCACGTGCGGCCAGTCAGGGCTCCTCCCTGCAACCGGAGCCCTGAGGAGACACTTGGCTTCAGGCGCTCCCGTCTTCCCTTTGCTTTCAAAGGTAAAGCGAATTATTTTACAAAGCCTCCCCTGCCCAAGAGGGCAGCCCAACCCCACGTGGGGAGGCTAATTTCCCGGGGCCTCTTCCGTTCCTCCCCGACCTCCCTAAACTGCGCGCCTCTGATGCACTGGTCCCTTCAGCCCAGCGAGCTCTTCCACCTCAAAGAAAGGCCAGGCGGGCGGCTGCAGAGCAGCAGCAGCGGGTCTGAGCCGCTCGCAGCGGAAACAGCCACCACCCTTAGCCCGACGCGGGGAGAACGAGCGAGGTTAGCGCCCGCCAGCCCGGGTGAGATTTGGGGACGAGGGGCAGGAGGAGGCACGCACACACCCGTGGCTCATTTTCCCAGCTCTGCCCAGCCCTCACGGCTCTGGCGCGGCCCTGGCAGGATGAGCGGAGGGTCCGGCGGGAAGGCGCTCACGGCAGCGAGGGAGAAGGGGCAGCAAGGGAGAAGGGAAAGCAACGGTGGAAGGTCTCCCGATATGAAGTGCCCCACCAATGCAGGCAGCACCATATCCGGGCATGCAACAAAAGTACTTCCTAACGGCAAGCCCCCCCCACTTCCCCCCCCATTTCGCATGTTTAATATGGGGCTTAATTTGGGGGGAGGGGCTTAATTTGATTTTATGCCAATAAAACATGGTGGAGCTTCCTATTGGTGGAGGCCGTATTGTTGGAGAAACACGGTATTCAATTTTGCTTCTTCAAAATCCAACTTTTGCTTCCGTAGAGTGTCATATGGAATATGATCTTTGTAGTTATAGACCTATCATGGCATTTGAGTATCATTTCTACGGCTTTCACAGATGTTTTCTACCAAGTACTAGTTTGCAGTGTATTTCTTGATCAGATGTAGCAAATAGTAATTTAGGAGACTCTAATGCTCTCATACCACTTATCTTTGAGTCCCTCTCTTTATCCCACTCACTTATAAAAAAAGACTGAATTATCTGCCTCAGTTAAGAGGTACATATATATATTTATCTGGAAATGCTAGATTAGAGTAGATTAAAAGCATCCCATTTTCTATTAAAAAAAAACTAATAAAACTTTTTAAGATTAAAAAAAAGAATTTAATTGATCCTGGTTTAAAATACTTACCATTTTGGAACACAAGAGATCTTCGGGAGTTTGCCATTATCTACTTGTAAATCTGCAATGAAATATTTTGCTTTCATTTGAAAATGTAAAAAAATCACTACTTTTTTAAAAAAATCTGTAAATATTTTATAGAATGAAAAAAATATTTGTATTAAACAGCTATAATTTTCCCCTTCTTTTGTAGGCAAATAATTCAAATCAAAATCTTAAGATATATAGTTAAGCAAAGGGGGAAAGAGATATTTTATCAAAGGAGAGCTATGATTTTCTTTAGTAATGAAACATTTTCTGTAGTATTGGCATCCTAAAATAAATATAATAACAACATAGAACATTAACTACCAGTAATAAAGCTGCAAGTACTAGAGAAAGCAATTTAAAGCATTTAGCCTATTTATAAAAGAAATCTAAATTGTTTAACAAATCCATACTTACTGAAATATTTTATATATCTATGCCTATATCTAGATTCCACACAACAAAACAAAATAATCAAAATCAGTAAAACACAAAACCCCCCAAACTATCTCATTACATTTCCTGCAAGGCGATAACGTAACTTTCCCAGCTCCAATGCTCCCTGGATAAAGAGGATGACTATTCACATCAACCCTAGCCCCAAACCTTTGGAGAAAATAAAATACTAAACTAGCAATAAAACATATTGAAATATCTGGACCATAAAAATAATTGTTTTCTTGAGATCAACAAAGGTATCATAACTGGCACTGTGTGTACTTTTTTAGGGAGGACATTACACGTCAATACTCAGATAAGGTTGGTCACTCTGTGCTGAACATAGAGTGTCAAGAGACACAAAAAATAACCTCAGACAACAAATAAAAGCTCAGCCAAGCTCATGTACCATAAAATATATTATTTCAGCTGGCTAGGCCTGGCTTCACACCATTTCCATTTTTGTGGACAATAATTGGACACTGATTGTATATGGAGTTAGAGGAACAATAACCCAGCTATGTAAACATTAGTTACATATGCATAGAGTTGTCTCCAGTTAGTTGGCCAGATGCACTGCATTTTGTAATACAGATCCGTTATGATCATTCAATCAGTGACTAGTCAAGTTAGGACAGCACTAAATGAAAGGAGGATATGCAATTTGGATGTTGGTGTTTCGGTTACAATATTACATTATTATAGTAGAAAAAGGAAGTCATACTTTCCAAACTTACAATGATGTATTTAACATAATTTATCAGATAATACAAATAATCCACATTTAATTATAGTAATTGGGAATGTAATTTCCATCACTAAGCAATGCAGTCATAAAGCAGGATATCCCATAATTGAATCCTTTGAATGAGTTATAAGTACCGGTACTGACAGGTAAGTATGTGTGGAGGAGGGACCGCCTGTGTGAATGTGTGTAAATATGAGGTTCATGCCTTTCTGTATGAACTAGTTATTTATTGATTTAATAGATTTATATATTTTCTTCTCTCCCCAGTAATATAGTACCTATTTTTACAATTAAAATTATCCAAATTAAATACCATGTAAGGTAGTTCTCAACTAACAACCATTTGTTTAGTAACCATTTTCAACCCAAAGGCATTTTAAAAAGTAACTTCTGACTATTTTTCATACAACAGTTGCAGCATCTCATGGTCAAGTCATCAGAATGTGGATGCTTGGCAAATAGCATGTATTTATGACGGTTGCAGTATCCTGGGGTCATTTTGCGATCTTCTGACAAGCAAAGTCAGTGAGAAAGTCAGATTCCCTTAATAACTAATTTTACTAACTTAAGAATTGGATTCATTTACTGAACAGCTGTGGCCAAGAAAGCTCATAAAATGGGGTAAAACTCACTTAACTATTTTGCTAAGCAATGGAAATATTGGGCTCAATTGTGTGAGAACTATGTGTAGAAAACTGAGACACATACCCGTAAGAGATGTAATGCTTAATAATGTTGAATATATATGATTCTATTATAAATTCATAGTATAAAAAGACTAATAAAATAAAATTGTTGTAGAAGAGACTAAATCAAACGTTGGTTCTGGCATTTGATATAACATGCACAGCATTTACTACTTTGTCTTGGGATTGGCAGCCGTGAGGAAAAGATTACACTCTCCTAGCAAAGACAGATTTACAGTGGATCCCAATTGCCATATCTTAAGGCTATGCTTTGAATGCTGTGGCTTAATGAGATTTTTCTTCAGCCTCTAATCCTAGGAGAAATCATGTAAAATGCAAAGCAGAATCTTTGATCATGAGAAATAAACAAAAAATGCAGACTTCAGATCCAGCAGCTTTATTAGTCCAATTCAAAAGTTGCCAGGTTTAATGTTTACAAGTACAAGCAAGTTGTTTAAAGCTGCACTGAAATATGAGAATGGATAATTATGGAGCTACCAGAACTACACCTGGTTATATAGTATAGCTAGACAACCTGTGCGTTGTTGGGTTATTTCAGAGATATTTCCTTAGCAAGTTTCTGAATGCCTTCAAGAATGACAGAGATTCTAATGTACAGAGATTCTATGTCTTTGTCTGATGAACCATTTGTTTAGCAATTGTTTAAAATTTTAGTATATACATAGATGGATTTTACCAATGCATAGTAGTTCTACCTGTACAGTTAACCAATCTTTTGAGTGTTTACCTTGCTATTAAAGCATTTTCTCGTTACAAATGTTCAAAATAAAACAATTAACCAACCCAAAAGAAGGCTAAATCTCCAACTTTCTGATTTTGTGTTCCAATCAATGCTATCATTCAAATTCACAAAATCAACAATTTTCTCAAACCATATTTGAAGCTTCCCAATGTCTTTATTTGCATAATCACGCCATCCATATTCTTGCTCAAGTTATTTCAACTAGAAAGTCATACTCTATTAACTTTAGATAATAGACAATTTTTAGCTCCATAGTTAGTCATTAAAGTTTTTTAAAATTTATATATGGGGGGGGGGGGGGGCTGTTAAGAAAAACCCAGTAGGAAAAGATCCAAGTCCCATTTATTCTGGCATTCTATTCATACAATGACCAATCAAATGTCATGTTAGCTAGGGGATTCTGGGAATTGATGTATTTGGATCTTAAATTGCCAAGGTTGAGAAACACTAATATAGGTAGTGGTGATCCCTCTGCCTAATTCCCTTTTAAAATTGTACATGTTTTGGCAGACCATTCTTTATAAGAATGTTACTTTTTATATGTTGTGAATCTTCCATTATTCAGCTTTACTGTATGGGTTCTCAAATATTATGATACACATTGTTTCTAAATGATACATTTTAATACATGAGAGTTCAACATAACAATTATAAACATTTGCAGTACAATTATTCCTATTACCATTACCCCTTACAAATAATTGGTGCTCCCACTTTTTACATTACTGTCATACTTTACTAAATCAGTCTTGTTAGTTCCATTCTGATTTTGTTAATGCTTCATTTCTGTCAAGTTTCATTCTGGCAAAATGAAATTTGTTCTTGCATTAATTTTATGTAAAATAAAGTGAATACAGTAAAAAATATGCTTAAGCATCGGTACATTATTTTCTGCAACTAATTAGGGTTTTTTTTTTTTTGACATCTGGAATTTTTAGGCTACAGATCAATTACAGTACTCCTTGACCATAACTGAGCTCAAAATTTCTGTTGCTAAGCAAGACAGTTGTTAAATGAGTTTTGCTCCATTTTACAACCTTTCTTGTCACATTGTTAAGTGAATCAACCCAATTGTTAAGTTAGTTAACACGGTTAAGTGAATCTGGCTTCTCCATTGATTTTGCTTGTGAATAGGTTGCAAATGTGAACACGTGATCCTGGAACATTGCAACATCATAAATACATACCACTTGCTAAATTCCTGGATTTTGACTACATGACTATGGACATGCTGCAATGGTCATTAAGTCACTTTTTTCAGTGCCATTGTAATTTCAAACAGTCACTAAACAAATAATCTTAAATTGAGAACTACCTGCATGCTTTTGAGTATCAGTCTTATTTAGCTCAGTGAAAGTTGTGACTCTGACTCAAACACTATTCTATTCCTTGGTTTGTTTCAACTATAGCTTCTTGAACTGACCAGACTCACAGAAATTGCTAAACCAGAAGGTACATATCATAATAGCTAGACTTACACATTCCAAACCACTAAACACATTTTCACTTACTTATTTTTATTTATTTATTAAATTTATATGCTGCTCATTTCACTATCCAAAGTGGGCTATACTTGGGCATTTGGGAGGGGCCTGAGGGCTGCAGTTAAGTGAAATGGGTAAGGGCAAGAATTTTGTTTTGTTTTTCCTTGGTCTTTAGAAGGTCAGACCTAATTAGTCCTTAGATAGGAGACTTAAAAATATGAAGTTAGAAAGCAATTTATTTACTGAAATGGTTATATTGACTTATCTGTTTAGGAAGGAACTATAAATAATTTTATAAAAGACTGGAAACCTTTTACAGATTTTGTTTGTTTGTTGAAAATGGATAAAAGTGGTGATATGGGAATTTACTGATTAAAAGGGTTATTTATGGGAAGAATGGAACCATGTGACACAATTTGGGAGAATGGAAATGATAATAACTATTTTTGCAAGTGCTGCAAAAAAGTTTGGAAGTTACTTCTTTAAATATTTTTTTTCTTTCTTTTTTCCACTTCCTTTTCACTTTTTCATCATTTCATATCTTTTCCCTTCCAATTTTTTCTTTATTTTTCTGTAGTTTTTTAATCCTGTCCAAATTTATTTTTCTATAAAAATTATACAAAAGAAAACCCTGTCTTGAGGGCAAGAAAGCAACATAGGTACAACACATCCCGACGTCGTCAGGATTCCAGCTCAACTCCACTGTACCCTTTAATTCGAGGCCTCCTTTTGTTACTAAAATCAGTTCGTGCCTCAAAATGTTGCAAAACTCCGCCATTCTTAAACCTGTGCCAGGTAACACTCCAAACCCTTTTGGCGAATTTCCCCTTTATTAGGCGGCGGGTCCCCCGCGTAGACCCCTCGAGCTACCCCACACGCACGGCTCCCTGACGCACCGCGTTGCTTGAAGTGGGTGCGTTGCTGGCTGCTACTCATAGCGGCCCTTGTACCGCGCTCCCGGGGGCGAAAGGCAACGGAGGGCGAGGGGCGAACCGACACCCAAATCCCTCGTCTCTGCAGAACTTGGGAAGACGGAAGCTATCCGGGACGCTCATGGTCCCCAGCGGCGGCCACCGGCACCCCGAAGGCGGCAGGACCGGCGATAGCAGCGGCAGCGTTACCATTCCTGCCCTTCCGGTTTTTTTAGCCGCGTCGCCGGCCAGAGCAAGCAAGGAACCGAGGCCTCCGGTCGCTAGGCAACCGGAAAGCCGCAATAAAGTGAAGCTCCGGGTACAGTCTTACGTTTGGTGGGCGGGGAGAAGATGGCCGCGAAGACGCGGTTCTCTTCTGCCCAGGATCCCCGTCCTTTCCGGGGCATTTAGAATTCTGTTTCTGTGGGCGAGCACGGTGTGCCAGATCCTGGCTGTGTTGATGAAATGGCAGGAGAATAATATATAGAATAACAGTTGAAAGGGACCTTGGAGGTCATCTAATCCAACCCCCTGCTGGAGCAGGAGAGTCTCTATACCATTTAAAACAAATGGCTGTTCAGTCTTTTCCTGAAAGCCTCGAGTGATGGGGAACCTACAACTTCTGAAATCAAACCATTCCACTGGTTGATTGTTCTCAGCTTAGGAAATTTCTCATTAAGTTCTAGGTTGGTTCTGACCTTGATTAGTTTCCATCCATTTTGTCTGGCCTTCTGGTGCTTTGGAAAATGTTTTGCCCGCTTCATCTTTGTGGCAGCCCCTCAAATATTGGAACATTGCTGTCATATCTCCCCTAGTCGTTTTTTTCACTAGACTAGAACTATCCAATTCTTGTAATTGTTCTTCATATGTTTTAGCCTATAGTCCCTTAATCATCTTTGTTGCTCTCCTCTGTTCTCTTTCCAGAGTCTCAACATCTTTTTAAACATTGTGGTCACCAAAACTGGACGCAGTATTCCAAGTGTGGCCATACTAAGGCTTTGTAATGTGGTGCTAATAAGTCATATGATCTTGATTCTATCCCTCTATGCAGCCTAGCCTTGTATTGGCTTTTTTGTCTTTATGGTGCTTTATAGGGAAAGGTATTTGCCTTATTTATTTCCAGAGCGGGTATTCAGCAGGTTCTGACCAGTTCTGGAGAACCGGTAGCTGAAATTTTGAGTATTTCAGAGAACCAGCAAATATCACCTTTGACTGGCCCCACCCCCATCTATTCTCTGCCTCCCGAGTCCCAGCTGATCATCTGCGTCTTCTTTGGTTGCCCTGCACAGGAGAAGGGAGCTGGAAAGCAGGTTAGTGGGTGGAGAGGGAATGGAGATTTTGTAGTATCCTTCCCCTGCCACACCTACAAAGCCACGCCCACCAAACCGCGCCCACAGAACCAGTAGTAAAACAATTTGAATCCCACCACTGTTTATTTCTAGGCCTGCCTTAAAAAACAGGCTTTTCCAAGTCAGCTTAATGTTAAAGGCACAGATAGACATTTTAATGAATGAGTAAAATAGCATTAACAAACATTAATTAAAATAAATTGTTCAAAATTAATTAAATTAACTTAAAATTAAAGGCTAAAGAAGTTCAAAGTTCCCATGAAATATACTATCTAACCATTTAAATTTAAGTGTGTTGAAAGAGAATGAAAATGCTGACCCTAGGCAAATCATCTGAGAGGATGACCCAGGTTCATGTGCACATACAAAAGGACAGGACTTCAATCCATGGTTCCGCCCACCACATTAACTTCTCCATTATGGGTAGTTCTACAATTGAGTTCCAGAATGCTAATCGCATACAAATAATACAGGAAAAAAGAATCCAAAGGCACTTTGTGACAACATAAAGCTGAGCAAATATGGCATACTCCTTTGTTTGGACTACCTGATATAGTTAGTAAGCAAGTCATCACATGACCAGACATGATTTTTATGACCATTTTACCTCAGTCATTAAGCAAATCTAGCTTTCCCAATTGACATCACTTTTTGGAGATCAGCTGGAAAAGTTGCAAATTGTGATTGTTGACCACTACACAGTGCAACCCATTGTAAATGTTAGCCATTTGCCAAGTACTCAAATTGCAATTAGGTGACTATAGGGTCGATGCAATGGTCAGAACTTCAAGGGCAGTTCATAAATTACTTTTTCCAAGGCCCTTGTTGCTTTGAATCATTGTTAAACAAACAGTTTCGTCAAGGATTACTTGTTGTTATAGTCCTTGACTTATAACAGTTGTAAGTCAAGGGCTCCATCTGTGCTGAGAGCAAGTGCTGAACAGATCCTGCCACCATCCCCAAGTTGATTGTGAGGCCTTTCTATAGGATCATGCAGAGTAATTTTCATTCATTCCCAGTTGGATACCAAATGTGTTACAAGTCCTGTGTAGATGCCAAGGAGGCAGACTTACCCAGTTATCTGGGAACGGTTTGATCCTATAGTACCAAAATGGCATTGGTTGCATCCATGGATTATCTCTGGCAGGAGCAGGATAGGGGCAGCGCATCCATCCTTGAATTTCTTGACCTCACAGCAGCTTTTGATACTATCAACCATGGTATCCTTTTGGGAAGACTTAGGGAGTTGGGGGTGAATGGTTCACTTCCTTCCTGAGGTCAGTCCCAATCAGTGTTGATAGGGAATCCAGCTCTAGACCCCTGCTTTGTGGGGTGCCACAGACTCAGAGCTCTCTCTGCTCCTTTCTAACATCTATATGAAACTGCTGAGTGAGATCATCCATCACTGCAAGATGAGGTGTCACACATACACCGATAATATATATTTCCAAACCAGGTGAAGTGAGTGATGCAGTGGACATCCTTTTATGGTGCCTGGAGGCTGCAGGGGCCTAGATGGGGATCAACAGACTTTAGCTGAATCCTGGTAAGATGATGTAGCTGTGAATAGTCCCCTCCGTATCCAGGAATTTATCATCTTTGGTCTTGGATGGAGTTGCATTACTCCAGACAGACCCGGTACGTAACGTGGGGGTCCTCCTGGGCTCATGATCCTTCCTCAAAGAGCAGATGACAGCTGTAGCTAGAAGGGCCTTTGCTCAACTTTGTGTTGTGTGTCAGTTATCCCCTTTCTTGGATAGGGAGGCTGTCCACTCAGCCACTTATGTTGTGGTCATCTCCTGTTTGGCCTATTGCAATTGTAGTCTACATGGGGCTATCTCTGAAAAGTATCAAGAAGTTTCAACTGGCACAAAATGCAGCCGTGTGGGCAATTTTAGGAACCCAAAGATACACACATGAAACACCTCTGTTCTATTAGCTGCATTGGATGCCTGTTTGTTTCTGGGTCCAATTCAAGGTGACAGAACTGTCTTTGTCCCTTTGCACATCAGCCCATCCTACCAGGTCAGGCAAGGAATTTATGTTTCAGACTTTGTCACTTAAAGAATTCCGACTGGAAGGGTCTAGGAAAAGAGCCTTCTCTGCTGTTACCCCAGCCCTATCGAATATTTCTTCCCCTGGAGGTGAGGCAGGCCCCCACTTTCCTGGCCTTCCAAAAAGGCTGGTTAGTCTCCTGGAAAGGCTTCTCCTTCACTTTCTAACTAATGTTGATCTCTTTCCTTCTCTTAATTTTTTTTAGATTTTTAACTTTTATATATGCTGTTTTATATTTTAACATTTTATTGTACACCACCCAGAATCCCTATCTGAGGGAGAAGTGAAAAATAAATAAAATAATACATAAATTTTGATTTAATATCATGTTCTATGTAATTTCCTGGTTATATACACTCACTGGAATGGTATATATTGACATCACTTTCTACAAATGGTTGTCCAGAATTGGTTTATAGCTTATGATAGCAGACACAGAACATTTTGTCATGCCTCCGATATTTAAGGTCAAATGTTTCCCAGTTGGAAATATACCATCTGGCTGTCTTGTGATTGTTATGTAGAGTCTTCATTTTCATGCTTACTTTATTTGAAAGGATTAGCTATACAGAGCTGCCCTGCAGTGAAAAATCTGGAATCCCAAAAGCATAAAAATTATTTTCATGATGAACAACACTGAGGCTGAAAATATCTTTGTGTATTTGTGATCGTTATGAAAAACAGAAACACAATTATCTAGAAATGATGGTTTGAGAGAAGAGGAAAACAAAATTGACCTACTTTAACATACAAATGATTCAATAATGACAATCACTTCTGGGCAGGAAACAGAAAACAAGATTTGTGGTTATCCAGCATGAGACCATCTGTAGTCTGGATCAAATACAGCAGAAACAAACTGTACAAGCAGTGTACACATCTCTGCTTTTTGTCTGACAGGTTAATCAAAGGTTTAATAAAATAATTTGGTAAAATATGTACAAAATAATTGCCCATATCCCAGAATCTCAGAGTACTTTTCTTCCATCCCATTCCACACCTAAGCTGTGGAAAAAGCAATACCGGTACTATCAATACTCAATGCATGTAACTTTTTGTAAAATAAGATATAAAATACTATTTGGCAAATTGTATGATCCTCTGAGATTGATTGTTCGCTTACAGTGCTTGTCTTATAAAATATAGTTATTTTTCACAAGTCATTTTGTTCTGTATCATTTAGTATTTATTGACAACTGTTTCTCCATTCTTTGAAATTTCACTGGTTCTTTCATGCTTCATAACATCAAGTATAACTGGTACGATCTAATAGCACCACATACCGTACTTTCTAAATCTAAATTAGGTACTATATTTCCAGTACCAATATAATTCTAACATACTGGCAATAGTCAACTGATGACTATTATTAAACCTGGCAATTACAGATGTAACTCTTGATGGTCATAAAGCAGGTCATCCTTTGACTGACCTGATTTTATGATATTTTTGCAGTGATCATTCAGCAATGGGGTGTTTTGCAGTGGGGTGTTTTTGCTGAAAACCAGAAATGCACATTTTTGGCATAAGTGTTACAGATTGTGGTCATGTAACCATGGGTTGCTGCAAACAGCAATAATTGTGGGGCAGGTGCTGAGTGGCCAAAATGCAGTCACATGACTGGGGGGGGGGGAATGACACCATTAGAATTTCAGAATTGACATATCTTAACACAAACATCTATGTTTCGATCAGTGGTGGTATGCTACCGGTTTGCCTGGTTCTGCTGAGCCAGTAGCAGTG